CCGGTAAAGGCCGGGGCGGGGCCGCGACAGAGCCGGCGGCGGGGTCGCGTGAAAGCCGGTGACGGGGCCGCGTAAGGGCCGGCGGCGGGGCCGCGTCAGTGAAGGCGGCGGGGCCGCAGGGGAAATGGCGACCCGAGGGGTCGCTAAAAAAAAATCGCGCCTCGGGGGGCGCTTCGGTGGGCCCAAAAAAAACCGGTCCTTAGAAGGACCCGCTCTATACCATGTGATAATAAGCAAACAGGAATGAAAATGACTAAGTCAGGGTTGGGTACAAATACAACCCTAGAAAGCTGTACCCCATATGTGCTACCCCACTATAGCCTACAAACATGCATCAGCTATAGTAATCTGACACCGTCGTTCCGCCCGGGTGTGGCCGGTGTGGCTGCAGGAGGGTCCGTCTTTGGCGTTTTCGGCAGGTGCGGCACAGTGTGGGACGGAAGTTATTTTCGAACCGCCAAAAAGTTCGGAAAAGGCCGCATACGACTAGACTGTCTACGTTAGGGTCACTTCTGCGCTTGCAACAAGGTCGGCCGAATTTTTCGGAGCAACAGCAGCAGCCGACACTGTACATCATGCGGCACAGGTTCCCCCTGATCAAGGGAAGTTGCGCCGCAGACAGGGCAGTACACCGACGGGACAACGGTTTATCGCAGCGTCTAGACTCGCAAATTTCGCCTGGTCTACCGGTCACAATAAACGGAGTTGTGACAAATACGGGTCTAGCGAGAGAAACGGATTCCAAGCTTCACGAGGGGCGAAAACGACCTACTGCGACGACTTTTTGCTGAGGGCCGAGTTTTGCGGCTAAGCGGCGGTAGCAGAAGGAGCTCCCTACCGGCCAAAGTCTACCGACGTTTCACATACCTCACGCCCAGAAGGCCTCGAAGGCAAGGTGTAAGTCCTATTGGCCACTGGATCCAAAGGTGGGGCCCTGTGTTTAGCCCTATGCTGGCTAAAAAGCGCGGGTATTGTGCCAGTTCGACAGCTGGGCGTACAAGAAAATTTCTGGGAGTTACACTGTTTCGGCCCCGACAAAACCGGACCATTGGCAGCAGTTACCCCGCCGAAAAAGTCGGAGCTGAAGCAGTTGGTGCAGCTGTCGGAGTTTCTCCTGATTCAACAGTCTACCCGACGGCGGTGTAGCGGCGAAGAAGGGATTTCCGAAGCTGAGGAGTTTTAAACGCGATAGACGCGGTGGGCAGCGAAGCGGCCGGTCCGACTGTTTGATCCGATAAACATGACCCGGCTACGAAAGCGTTTGCGCCTTCACCGAATGTCAGAGAAATCGCGGGCAACAAGGAGTTATACCTCATCCGACAAAAGCGAACGCTGGGTGAACGGCGGCAAGCGAAATTGTCGGGGGGTGAAGACACAAAACAAATAGAGGGAAATTTGTGGGTGCTCCAGCAGATCTGCAGAGTGAAAGGTTGAGCCCGTACACCAAACCACCGCGAATTTCGGAGTCTATTAGGTATACCCCCGAAAGGGTTTGATATTGTTACATGGAGGCGCGACGAGCGGTGTATTGCCAAGGATACCTGGGATTCGCTAAGTAATTTCGACGGGTGCGAAGACGGGTGAACGTCGGAGTACCAGGGTTAACGGCGGAAGCGTTGGGGCTACGCGGCGGAAAATACTTCGGGACTGCTTCAACAACCATGATTTTCGGGGTTTTATTCCAACGGTGGGAGACGGGTGAACGTCTGCTCGCTAGCTGTTTCAGCGGTTTACGGTGTACTTCGAAGCCATCTGGGGAAATTCTACAGTGAGATCTGCGGCGTCGATGTGGGCTAGGTTCCGTGAAATTCAGTCCCGGTAGACCCATAGTTCTGGGTTCCGCACAAAAAGCACCTCCTTTTGGTGGGTGGCTAGTATGGTTAATCGCAGGAAATAAAAATGGCGACGGGTGGGCACGCTAGATACACCGGTTCTTCAAGGGGATAACCTGCAGGTGACCAAGACGTACGAGAAATTTCAACACCGACACTTACGGATTTCAGCAGCAGTACTGGGAGCTGGGTCTTTACAAGAGTTCGGCGGTGACGGCCGACAATTTCGCGACAACGGCGGAGTTGCAGCGGGGCTGGGTTAAGCGCGCGAAAACTGCCGTGGTGAACTTCATGGTGGCAAAATCTGCAGAGTTTCAGGGGTACCAGCCGCAACACTAGTGAAATGTATCACAACAGGTGGGGGGAGGAAGGACAGCTTTTTCGCCTCTACCCCGAAGTCTTCGGCGAGTCACGACAATAGCCGAGGTAGCTGACGTCATCGATAGTTCGAGTTTTCAACTTTGAAAAATATTTGCGAGGTCAGGGGGAAGAGCAGCAGCTGTTTTCGTCCCTGCCCAGGAGTTTTCGGAGCAACGCGACAAAGGCCTGGGCGATTCTGGACAAAACTACCGAGGGCGCCGACAGCTGGAACACTACAGCGAAGATTTTCGCCACAGCAACCAGCCAAACGGCAGCAGCAATTCGGGATTGCAGCAGCTGCCAACTGGAGACTGGGCAGCAATAAAGTGATTCGATACTGCCACGTGGGGGATTACGAGGTGGCATTCACGAGAGATGCTGCAGCAACAGTCGCGACAACAAGACAACAATAAGATTTTCTTAATGCCAAGCCCCTGCAAAAAACGGTATTCTTTCGAAGGGACTTCGACAGAGTTTACCCGGGGCATTTTCGGGGTTTTCGACAGTGAAGATTTCGCCACCGACAGCAATTTAGACTACACAGCGGTTGAATTTCAGGCGGAAGGTCATAACACTTGGTATTCTGTCCTACCCTCGGCGTCAGGGGGGTTGTGGTTTTGTGCCCGCGCAGCTGTGCACATTTTGGTGGGCAGCAGTTCTCTTCCAAGGGGGGGGGGGGGGGGGGGGGGGGTGGATGAAAGAGTGCTCACACACTGTTGTTGGCAGGCCTCTGACATTACGGCAGTTATTTCTGACAGTTCGTCTGACACACCCAGCACGACGGACGCACGCGATGGCTTCATCGGCATCGACGGCACCAGATTCATCGATCTCTGACAACGCGTCAGAATTCCCGCCGACATGACATTCACCAGAACCATCCGATACACATCCGCGACATCGACGGTCTTCCTTCGTCGAACGATTTGAGATCGACATTCGCTTTCAACCGCCCGATCGACATCGGCAGTATCAACGGCTGACATCCCAACTCTTTGAAATTCGCCTGGTCAACGCGCTCAGCCACGCGTCAACTCGAAAGTCAACATGCTTCCGCACCGTCAGATCAGTTTCAACCGAGATCTGCAGTTTTCAGGCTACTGCAAGACTCGCCTACGTATAAGGGCACCTTATTTAGAAGGTGGGAGAGTGTAATGAATGTGAATTCAATACTGTAGAGGCTACTTCTAGCGAGGACAGCCCGAACTGTTCGCGTTAGTTTGGGTTCGGCCTACACTTCGGCCCGAACCACTTCCGAGTCGCCCCGCACCAATCGCGACACTTCCAACCCATCCACGTCCCGAGGTCCTCGCCTACCACGGTTTCGATCCTAGAAATGCTTGCTTCTTTATCATTCTCGTCATTCTGTAGTTCTCATCCTTTTATAAAGTCTTCCGCGCAGTCTTCTTAGTACAACTCATAACACTGGAGATAGAACATATCAAGTCTTGAGTATACCATGCCTAGTGTCTCCACAGGAATGCACCCTTAGGCTATGTTTATTCAGCATCGCGATTCCCGCTAGGCAGCAGCGCGATTCCCGCTAGGCAGCAGAGCGATTCCCGCTACCAAGGCAGCAGCGCGATTCCCGCTAGGCAGCAGCGCGACTCCCGCTAGGCAGCAGCTCTTTCCTCGCTAGTAGCAGCGCGATCCCGCCACGTAGCCCGCGACTCAACCTCTTAGCCCGCGATTCAGCCGCCCAGGCCGCGATCTAGCCGCCCAGCCCGCAATTTAGCCGCCTTCGCCTCGATCTAGCCGCCTAGCCCGCATCTTAGCCGTTTAGCCAGCGATTTAGCCGCCCCGCCCGCGACCTAGCTGCAAAGCAGCGATCTTGCTGACCAACCGGTGATTTAGCCGCTTAGCCCGCGAATTGCAGGTAGCAGCGCGCAGCTAGGCAGTGGAACCCGCGCCGTAACAGCGAAATCCGCACCGCAGCAGCGAAAATCGCGTTGTAGCAGCGAAATCCACGCCGTAGCAGCGAAATTCGCGCCGTGGCAGCGAAATCCCCGTCGTAGCAGCGACATCCATGCCTAGGCAGCACAACCCGCGCTGTAGCAGCGACATCTGCGCCGTAGCAGCGAAATCTGCGCCGTAGCAGCGAAATCCGCGCCGTAGCAGCGAAGCCCGCGCCGTAGCGTCGAAGTGCGCGCTGTAGCAGCGAAGTGCGCGCCGTAGCAGCGAATTGCGCGCCGTATCGGCGAATTGCGCGCCGTAGCAGCGCAATCCGGTGCCTCGGCAGCGAAACCCGCGCCGTAGCAGCGAAATCCGCGCCGTAGCAGCGAAGTGCGCGACGTAGCAGCGAAGTGCGCGCCGTAGCAGCGAAGTGCGCGCCGTAGCAGCGAAGTGCCCGCCGTAGCAGCGAAGTGCACGCCGTAGCAGCGAAGTCCGGGCAAAGAGCAGCGAAGTCCGCCATGTAACAGTGAAACCCACGCCGTAGCAACAAAATCCGCGTCGCGGCGGAGGGATCAGCGCCCAGGCAGCTATACTCACGCGTAGGAGCGCCATCGCAGCGAAGCTGGTGCCTAGGCAGCTACCGCGTGTAGGGAGGGCCACAAAGCGAGACCCGCGCCTAGGTACCAACACCGGCAGGTAGGTGCGTCCAGCGTATAGAGGAGTCTCCGTGCGCCAGCGACGCCCAACACCTTCGACTCACCCGGACTGCGAACCTTATATCGAAGGCGGGAGGCGCCCCTCCAGCGCTCCCCGCAAACAGCTTACGCCATGAACAACGATCCAGACCCCCCTGACCGAGGGAGGAAGATCATCGCGAGGATTGGCCACAAGAGACCCAGGGAGGCAGCACCGAGTATGCAATACCCACAACTCTGTCGCCTCCACCACGAGGATGCATTCTGCCTTTTTGGCAAGCCCAGCAAGCGACAAAGGTATGGACCCCTCTCGACAGAGGGGGAGATAGAGGAACCACCCAAAGACACTCTCGGCGGCTTCGTAGGCGGCAGCGACACCATCTCCAGCCGGGACCTGGACGTGACGGACGAGGGCGAGTGCGGTCATGGGGTGCATAGGCAAGGTACCGGTGATGACGCGGCGATGGCTGCATGGGAGGCACACCGCCGGCGACTGCAGGAGTCTCATGATAGGCGGCGGAGGGCCCTGGGAAATCCTTTGGCACGCTCAGCCCTCACAGCTCCGCGTGGGCCTCGCCTGGCCCAAAGGCAGGAACAGAGACGGAGAGCTCGGGCGGAAGTGCAGCAATGGAGTCCAGCGGGGACCCAGCCCTCGAGGCAGGAGGGGGGGCAGCAGAACTGGCAGTTGGGGGAGGCCCAGAAGCCACAAGCAAGGGAGCAGCAAGTGCGGCCGGCGGGAGGGCAGCAGGAGCTGCCGGCGAGAGGGGAGCAGCATCTGCTGGCGAGAGGGGAGCAGGGGCTGCCGGCGAGAGGGGAGCAGGAGCTGCCGGCGAGAGGGCAGCAAGAGCCGCAGGCAAGAGGGCGGCAGGCGCGGTCGGCAGGCGAGCAGCAGGTATTGCCGAAGGGAGAGCAGCAGGAGCGGCCGGCGGGAGGGCAGCTGGAGCTGCCGGCGGGGGGGCAGCAGGAGCTGCAGGCAGGAGGGCAGCGGGAGGTGCCAGCGGGAGGGCAGCAGGAGGTGCCAGCGGGAGGGCAGCAGGAGGTGCCAGCGGGAGGGCAGCAGGAGGCGCCGGCGAGAGGGCAGCAGGAGGTGCCGGCGAGAGGGCAGCAGGAGGTGCCGGCGAGAGGGCAGCAGGAGGTGCCGGCGAGAGGGCAGCAGGAGCTGTCGGCTGGGGGGCAGCAAATGGTAGAAGTGGAGATGGCCGAGCTACAGCCAGAGGTGCAGCAGGACCACTCGGGGAACCGGGCCCGGCCACACGCAGGAGGGCAGCAGAAGCCGCCCGGGGGAGAGCAGCGTGAGCTGCCAAGGGAAGAGCAGCAAGAGCTGCCGGCAAGGGAGCAGCAAGCAAGGGAGCAACAAGCGGTAGAAGTGGAGATGGCCGAGCTACAGCCAGAGTCACAGCAGGACCAATCGGGAAACCAGGCCTGGCCACAGGCAGGAGGGCAGCAGGGGCCGCCCGGGGGAGAGCAGCAGAAGCCGCCGGGGGTGGGGCAGCTGCCGGCAAGGGAGCAGCAAGCGGTGGATGTGGAGATGGCCGAGCTACTGCCAGAGGTGCAGCAGGACCAATCAGGGAACCAGGTCCGGCTGCAGGCAGGAGGGCAGCAGGAGCTGCCGGGGGAGGAGCGGCAGGAGCTGCCAACAGGAGGGCAGCTGGGGCTGTCGGGGGGAGGGCAGCAGGAGCTGTCGGAGGGGGAGCGGCGGGAGCTGCCGGCGCGGGGGCAGCTGGAGGTCGCTAGTGCGGACTCTACAAGCCAAGCGAAGAGAACCCGGGCACGGGGCCGAGGCGGGAGACGACACGCCCGTAAGACGCAAGGCCGAACTGGAAGCGGAGCTGCCGCCCAGCAGGCGGAGGGGCAGCCGGGGGCGACCGAGACACCCCCGGGAGCTCCGCGGGTGGGGGGGCAGCCCTGGGTGCCCGGGGCGCCCCAAGGAGAGCAGCAGCAAGGGGGGCAGCCGGGGGTGCCCGGGGCACCCCAGGGAGTGCAGCAGGCAGGGGGGCAGCCGGGGGTGCCCGGGGCACCCCAGGGAGTGCTGCAGGCAGGGGGGCAGCCGAGGGTGCCCGGAGCACCCCAGGGAGTGCAGCAGGCCGGGGGGCAGCCGAGGGTGCCCGGGGCACCCCAGGGAGTGCAGCAGGCAGGGGGGCAGCCGGGGGTGCCCGGGGCTCCCCAGGGAGTGCAGCAGGCAGGAGGGCAGCTGAGGGTGCCCGGGGCACCCCAGGGAGCGCAGCAGGCAGGAGGGCAGCCGAGGGTGCCCGGGGCACCCCAGGGAGTGCAGCAGGCAGGAGGGCAGCCGAGGTTGCCCGGAGCACCCCAGGGAGTGCAGCAGGCAGGAGGGCAGCAGGGGGTGCCCGGGGCACCCCAGGGAGTGCAGCAGGCAGGAGGGCAGCCGAGGGTACCCGGAGCACCCCAGGGAGGGTAGCAGGCAGGGGGGCAGCCGGGGGTGCCCGGGGCACCCCAGGGAGTGCAGCAGGCAGGGGGGCAGCCGGGGGTGCCCGGGGCACCCCAGGGAGTGCTGCAGGCAGGGGGGCAGCCGAGGGTGCCCGGAGCACCCCAGGGAGTGCAGCAGGCCGGGGGGCAGCCGAGGGTGCCCGGGGCACCCCAGGGAGTGCAGCAGGCAGGGGGGCAGCCGGGGGTGCCCGGGGCTCCCCAGGGAGTGCAGCAGGCAGGAGGGCAGCTGAGGGTGCCCGGGGCACCCCAGGGAGCGCAGCAGGCAGGAGGGCAGCCGAGGGTGCCCGGGGCACCCCAGGGAGTGCAGCAGGCAGGAGGGCAGCCGAGGTTGCCCGGAGCACCCCAGGGAGTGCAGCAGGCAGGAGGGCAGCAGGGGGTGCCCGGGGCACCCCAGGGAGTGCAGCAGGCAGGAGGGCAGCCGAGGGTACCCGGAGCACCCCAGGGAGGGTAGCAGGCAGGGGGGCAGCCAAGGGTGCCCGGGGCACCCCAGGGAGTGCAGCAGGCAGGGGGGCAGCCGGGGGTGCCCGGGGCTCCCCAGAGAGTGCAGCAGGCAGGAGGGCAGCTGAGGGTGCCCGGGGCACCCCAGGGAGCGCAGCAGGCAGGAGGGCAGCCGAGGGTGCCCGGGGCACCCCAGGGAGTACAGCAGGTAGGAGGGCAGCCGAGGGTGCCCGGGGCACCCCAGGGAGTGCAGCAGGCAGGAGGGCAGCAGGGGGTGCCCGGGGCACCCCAGGGAGTGCAGCAGGCAGGAGGGCAGCCGAGGGTACCCGGAGCACCCCAGGGAGTGCAGCAGGCAGGAGGGCAGCCAAGGGTGCCCGGGGCACCCCAGGGAGTGCAGCAGGCAGGGGGGCAGCTGGGGGTGCCCGGGGCACCCCAGGGAGTGCAGCAGGCAGGAGGGCAGCCGAGGGTGCCCGGGGCACCCCAGGGAGCGCAGCAGGCAGGAGGGCAGCCGGGGGTGCCCGGGGCACCCCAGGGAGTGCAGCAGGCAGGGGGGCAGCCGGGGGTGCCCGGGGCACCCCAGGGAGTGCAGCAGGCAGGGGGGCAGCCGGGGGTGCCCGGGGCACCCCAGGGAGTGCAGCAGGCAGGAGGGCAGCCGAGGGTGCCTGGGGCACCCCAGGGAGTGCAGCAGGCAGGAGGGCAGCCGAGGGTGCCCGGGGCACCCCAGGGAGTGCAGCAGGCAGGAGGGCAGCCGGGGGTGCCCGGGGCACCCCAGGGAGTGCAGCAGGCAGGGGGGCAACCGGGGGTGCCCGGGGCACCCCAGGGGGTGCAGCAGGCAGGGGGGCAGCCGGGGGTGCCCGGAGCACCCCAGGGAGTGCAGCAGGCAGGAGGGCAGCCGAGGGTGCCCAGGGCACCCCAGGGAGTGCAGCGGGCAGGTGGGGAGCCAGGGGTGCCCGGAGCACCCCAGGGAGTGCAGCAGGCAGGAGGGCAGCCGGGGGTGCCCGGGGCATCCCAGGGAGTGCAGCAGGCAGGAGGGCAGCCGAGGGTGCCCGGGGCACCCCAGGGAGTGCAGCAGGCAGGAGGGCAGCTGAGGGTGCCCGGGGCACCCCAGGGAGTGCAGCAGGTAGGAGGGCAACCGAGGATGCCTGGAGCACCCCAGGGAGAGCAGCAGGCTGGGGGGCAGCCGGGGGTGACCGGAGCACCCCAGGGGGAGCAGCAGCTAGGGGGGCAGCCGGGGGTGACCCGAGCACCCCAGGGCGAGCAGCAGGCAGGGGAGCAGCCGGGGGTGACCGGAGCACCCCAGGGAGTGCAGCTGGCAGGAGGGCAGCCGATGGTGCCTGGGGAACCCCAGGAAGTGCAGCAGGCAAGAGGGCAGGGAGTGCAGCAGGCAGGAGGGCAGCCGAGGGTGCCCAGAGCACCCCAGGGAGAGCAGCAGGCAGGGGGGCAGCCGGGGGTGACCGGGGCACCCCAGGGAGCGCAGCAGCCAGGGGGGCAGCCGAGGGTGCCCTGGGCACCCCAAGGAGCGCAGCAAGCAGGGGGGAGATCGATGGACGACCAGGAGCAACAGTTGGAGGAGTGGTGTCGACTTCTGGAGCTTGATACCCCCATGGCGACTGCGGAGGAGTCAGAGGCGGACGAAGAACCTCCCATGCCGCCTTCCCCATGCCCCCGCTTCCCATGCGACACGTGTTTCCACACTTTCGCTACACGGGGGGCCGCTGCGAACCACATGAGGGTATGTCGAGCGGCTGAGGCGGAGAGGCGTGCACAGGCTCTCGGCTCGATTCCGTCTCTGGTGGAGACCGACACGCAGGAGCGATCGACGCCGCGGGAATTTGGGGACGAGGCGTGGGCTGGGGTTACGTCATGGGAATGGGAAACATTTTTCAGTGTGGAGGCGGTTGGAGGGAGGACAGTTCGCCGGATCCCACAGCGGGCCAGGTCGGGGGTCTTAGACGCGCTCTGTTGCATCCTTAAGCGCTTGAAGAGCCAGCCGGGAGATGAAGCCGCTACCCTCCTACTCTTGGCGTTTCCGCGCCTCATCCTAGCCATGCCTCTCAAGCCAGGCATAGGTCAGAAGGCGCTGATCACTGAGCGGTTGGGTGCGTTCTGGGAGGGGAGGTGGCGGGAGCTGTTCGACTCTGCCATGGCGACAGCGCGGCCAGCAGTTCGCCCACTTTCCTACACTCGCTCTGACCATGACCCGGATGCCATCCGCCTGTCACGATGCCGATCTCGGTGCAAAGTGGGGGAGTGGAGCCGATGATTGGCCTGACTTACAGCAGGGGAGTTGGCTCGACCGTCTGAGGTCATGGTGCAGTCGCTGCGAGAGAAGCACCCGGCTAGCGCAGGCGAGGTACCGCAGTGGGTCCGCGATTTCACCATCGATACCGCTCAGCAGCCTTCACTCACGACCGACATCCTGGCTAGAGCTATCCATACAGCCGCTCGAGCCTCAGCAGCAGGGCCATCGGGGTGGGTCACACAACATCTGCGCGACACCTTCTTCACTGAACCTACCTGCCTCTCCCACCTGTTGGAAGTGTTCAACCAATGGGTGGCGGGACAGGTCCTCGAGCGGGCTCGGCCGTGGCTCGCCGCATCCAACCTAGTCGGGCTTTCCAAGCCTAATGGCGACGTCCGGCCGGTGGCGATCGGGGAGGTGCTTCCTCGTATCCTTGCTCGAGCTCCCTGCATCTCGCTCCGCCCTGCGATGGTTTCCTACTTCCTGCCGTGCAACCAGCTGGGAGCGGGCACCAGGGTCGGGGCGGAGGTTCTCACTCATTCTTTCCGGTCAGCGCTGGCCACTCACCCCGACTGATGTGCGCTACAGATAGACGTCGCAAACGCCTTCAATTCGTTTCACCGTCATGTGATGCTCGATGGGCTGCGGGAGTCGCCTTTCTCAGGGATGATCCCATTCTTGCGTGTCTTTTATGGGACACCCAGCGACCTGTACCTCCGAGCGGGCCCTTTCGTACAGAGCCTCGAGTCAGCATGGGGATCGAGGCAGGGGGACCCGCTCGGCCCTTTTCTTTTCGCGTTCACGCAGCAGCAGGTGATGGAGCCGGTTACTAGGGAGTTCAAGGACCTGCTTTTCCTCAGCTATGCAGACGATACCTATATTTTGGGGCTAGCGGCTAGGATTCTGGAGGCTTTTGGGGTGCTGCGGGAGCGGTTGGAGTGGGTAGGGCTGGAGGTGCAGGCGCACAAGTGCCGGTTTTGGGAGCGTGAGGGCAAAGAGGTGGAGCGGGCACTGCCATTGGGGATGCAGCGGGTGGACGAGGGTCTTACTGTGGTGGGCGTGCCTATTGGAGAGGAGGTTTGGGAGGTGGTCCGGCTACGGGAGCAGCTTCGACAGTTGCAGGCGCCACTGCCATGGCTCCCCTTGCTCGACCAACCCCAGATGGCTTCACACCTCCTCGCCATTGCAGTTTCAGCGCGGCCGATGTACCTCGCCCGGACTATGCCGCCGCGTCCGGAGGTGGTTGAGGCTTTTAGGGATTGGGACAGCTGTTTAGAGGATTGCTTTGAGCAGCTTTTCCCACCTGGCACTTGGGAGCAGGACCCCGACCGGTCTAGGCGCGCACGAATGCAGCTGCATCTCCCTGTGCGTCTCGGTGGGTTCGGGATCCGGGCTGCGGCCTCTTTGAGCCCACTGTCCTATGTTTGCGGGTGGGCGCAGGCCGCGCAGGACATTGCACAGTTAGGGGTGGCGGGTGAGGAGGCGATGTTTGCTGAGTACCTCACCACTTTGACAGGGGCAGAGTTTCTTGACCCGTGGTTTGTCAAGGCTCTCGAGCAGCTGCCAGCGACTATCCGCCACGAGATACCGGGCTTACCTCTGTGTGTAGCGGCCCCTCTTGTTCGGCTTTTCCAAGCGCGTCAGCGGCAGATAGTTGTAGAGGAGCTCCAGGCACTGCGCCGCTTGGCTCGTGACGATGCTACCTTGGCCCGTTTCACATCCCTTCAGGGCCCGGGGGCAGATGCATGGGTTTCGGCGGTTCCGGCTCACTCAGATCTCACATTCACTGCGGCTGAGTGGGGCATTGCTGCTGCTATACGGCTCGGCCTCCCAATTCAGCAGCTGCAGGTGGCGGGGAGGTGTGTTTGTGGCACAGCGTATGTTGACCCAGCAGACCTGCACCATGCCCTGAGATGCAGGCACGAGCATGGTCCTTCTCGGGTGCATGATGAGGTTAAGTTTGCGGTGGCGAAGATCTCTAAGGCGTCGGGGGGGGTGGTGACATTGGAGGATAGTGTGGTGCTGCAAGGGAAGCGGCTTGATGTGGCGGTGCGACGTCCAATGGCTGGAGAGGCTCACGCCCTAGAGATCAGCGTCGCGGACCCGCTATCGCTGTCTCCATCACGGCTGGGACAGTGCGGGCGTCAAATAGGTGTGGCGGCAAGGGAATGGGAGCGTCGCAAAACGAGTGATTACGCGCCTCTGCTTGCACGCAACCGGGGCGTGCAGTTCACCCCTTTGATAGTTGAGACGTGGGGGTGTCTCGGCGGTCGTTTTCAGCGGTGGCTTCGTCAGCAGGGGGATGCGCACGTGGGGCTAGCTGTGTCGCGGGGGGCTTGTCGAGAGGACGACTCTGTGTTTTCGGCTTATCTTTTAGGGTCACTGAAGGCGCTCATCGGGGTGGCGTTACAACGTGCGTAAGCCCGTGTCATCCTGCTTCGAGCGGCGTCTTCCATGGGGGGGATTAACGTAGATTTGGTGGATCGGGAGAGGGACGATGTCGATGTGGAAGGCGGGGCTCTCTGGGTGGAGGCCCCGTACATGGTCGATACGTTGATGTGATTGAGGGGGGGGGGGGGGGGGATGGGGCGTGGGATGGGATGTCTTGATGGGGTGTCTTGACTGGGCGTTTTGATTGGGAAACTTGAGGGGGGGTTTTATGTGTGTTGCATTTGGGTTCTTTTTGGGAGTTTCATTTTCCCTCTCCCTTTCTTTCTCCATTCCCTTTCTTTTTCAAACACACTATGGCGAGACACATGGTGTGAATGACTGTTCTGTAAAAAAAAAAAATGTATTTGTCGATTCGTTCGAGAAATACGTTGTATCTGTTACCCATTCAGCAGAGAACAGAAATTTCAATTGAAAATTCCACCTCATAAAATATAAAATACAATTATTGCTCTTAGATAAAGTAATAACCTGATGGCCATTTTTTTGAAGTACACGTGATCCAAATATGTAATATATACCTTAGTAACAGACCTAGTGTTACCAACTATACTGTGCTCAGTGTACCGTACGTGGAGGTGTCGAACTAACTCAGCAGCTTGTGCATGAGTAATGAAAAGTTGAGTTAATGCAACCGGGAAAAATCCTAGTACGGATACGGATTCGGGGTAGGGTCCTCATTTCTAATTGTAGAACCTGGCAGCAGAAACTGTACAATAAGGATCACTGTATGAAGAGGACAGGTGGTGCGCCACCATGAACAATCACCCTTCACCCCCAACCTCGTTTACCCCCAACTCGCACCTTCGTTCTCCAATTCCCCCCCAACCCAACCTCGAGAATCCCGTGTTCCCCCTCAGTTCCCCCAAAATTTCCCATTCCCGCTCACCGCCGCGTTCTTCCCCTGATCTCCACCCCCCGCACCCCCCTCCACTTCCCCCCTCCTCCCCCTCCCCAACGTGTTTTGTCCCCTTCACCTTTCTGTCCGCTCCCCTGCTGCTCGCTCCCGCCTCTCCGCCTTCTCTCGTATTTGCCTCCTAGCTGCTCCTAACTTCGTCTCTTTTCCCTTAGTCTGCACAGCACAGGACTAATTCCTCCGTCCTCCCTCCTCCCCTTCCCCGTGGATAGTCGCTCCACCTAAAATCAGCCAAAATGGTTCGTGTCCAATCCCTAGACTGCTGGACGATTATGCGGGTGATCCTGTTACTGAGACATCAACTATTTTGCTTCTGGAAAAATATGTCTGGGTGGTGTGGTCTCATTTTAGGGTTTCCTAGGAAAACCGTTCACAATCGAGCTTCTTACGAGCATTGCTGCATTTTCCACCTCCGCGACTGCGTTCCACTCTCACCAGCGCTGACTATTCCTTCTAGTTGCCGTTCTTTATTGTCAGATTCGTCATCCGTGTCGCTTACTTCGTGTTTTTTCCACCAACACTGACCCTACGTCAAACGCTTCACTGTGGCCATCTTTTTTCCTTGATTTGACCAGCCGTTCCGGAGATACATGGAGGTGGGCCGGGTGTGCATGGTCAACTTCGGCCCCATGTACGGCAAGCTCGTCGTAGTCGTCGATATCATCGACCAAAACAGGGTGAGCTGGAGCCGTTGACCCCGTTGACCCCGTTGACCGCGTTGACCCCATTGACCGACAGATATGATGCGTCATGTACGGCAATCCCGTCGTCTTCGTCGATATCATCGACCAAAAAAGGGCGATCCAGGAGCTGTTGACCTCATTGACCGCGCTGATCCCGTTGACCGCGCTGACTCGTTTGACCCCGTTGACCGCGTTGACTCATTTGACCCTGTTGACCGCGTTGCTTCCGCTCACCGACAAGTGGTGTTCTGACAAGGAGAGGAGGCCATGATCACCAGTCCATACCCCATGCACGACGACGCCTTCTTTACGTTAGCATTATCCAGGATCACGGACTGTCACGAAAAAGTTAATGGAGGCTAGGGGGAGAAGGGAGCTGCCGGCATACGCGTTAGTGAATCACTGCAGCGCAGGATATGGAAACGGTGCATAGTGCAGGAACGTAGCCGAGAGGGTGTGTTAGGTCACGTGATTCTGGTGCAGCCGCAGCTAAAGATTCGGTTCAAGAAGAGGCTAAGCAAACGGTGGATAGCCTGTGCATCAGGAGGGAGGGTGTTTTGCGAGACAGCGGTTCTGGTGCAGCAGACACGAACGGGCGAATAAGATAGGTTATGCGAACGGCGGATAGGCTGTGCATCAGGAGGGAGGGTATATTGCGTCACAGCGAATCTAGTGCAGCTGACGCAAACAACGTGACTCTGAGTTGACTCGAATAAGGCCAGGCGAAAATGGGGCTACGCGAACCGTGAATAGTCTGTGCATTAGGATAGAAAGCGTATTAGGTCACAGCAATTTTCGTGCAGCAGATTTAAAACACTTCCAGCGGCATCGACAGATATCAGCAGGCGTGCTGACAGCGTAGACGAGCAGGCGGTGTCTTAAGCAGGCGTGTCGAGGGCAGGCTTGAACAGTCATGTTCACAGCAGCAGCGGAGGAACCATTTTTTGGTGATGTTGCTCCATTTTGAGAAATTGCAGTACTGTGGAGCACGGGCGTCCAATTAGAATTTCATCTATTCCAATTGCAGGTACCGTCAGTTTACTAGGATTAGGGTTTTTCGCGAGTCACACTGACCAGGGTTTCAACAATCCCATCAACTAGGGATTCGGCGATTCCCGTCGGTCAGGGTGTCAGCCACTTGTATCGGAGCCACGGTGCGGTTGTCGCAGAGAATCTAGTCCTTTTTTTCGCCATTCCCCCTGCCCCCTTAAGCATGCGTGTCTTAAGACCGGAAAGGCGAGAGACTTCGCTAGTCTTCTTTTTCGAGGCGCCTTGACATTCGATGCCGTAATACCCGTTTTTTTCTTACCGTCTGCGCCTTTCTCGGCACGGAACCCGCCGTGGCGTGACCTGTTCTGTTGGCGTATAGTTTGAAGCCCTGGTGGGCGGCACAGCGCTAGCGAATGAACTACAAGCGCCCTTGCTTTCAGTCATAACCAGACCTTACCCCCACCACCTCCTCCCATCCCCCGTTCCCCCTGCGCCCTTCCCCGTGCGCGCACCCTCCCCCTCGTCCGCCTTCACCAGTCCCTGGTGGACTTCACGGGCAAGGAGCGCCAGCAGATCAAATACAAGCGCCTGTCGCTCACGGACATCACCAAACTTTACCCTCACCCCCTCGTCCTTCCCCTCGTTCCCCCTGCGCCCTTCCCCCTTGCGACCCGTTCCCCGTTCCCCGTTCCTCCGCTCCTTCCCCGGCGCCCCCGCTCCCCCTTCCCCCCAACCCCAGGCCCTAATTGACTTCACAGGCATGGAGCGCCAGCAGATCAACTTCAAGCGCCTCTCGCTGACGGACATCACCATCGACATTCCCAAGGCCGCCTCGAAGAAGGAGCTGCGCGCCGCCATCGAAGCCGGTGGTGAGTGGTGATACGCGGTTTCTGTGGGTCAACTGTGGTGCTGGTTGGCTAGGGTTGAGTTTTATCTCCCGTTTTGTGCTGGGTTAGGGTTTGTCTCTCAGCGACGTCACCACCGGCATTCCCAAGGCCGCCTCGAAGAAGGAGCTGCGCGCTGCCATCAAAGCCGGTGGTGAAGGAATTCGGGTTTGGGATTATGCAAACTACGTGTGTTTGGGATAGGCTTGAACCCCAAGCCCCCACTTCCCCCCCCCCTTTTTTGTGTGTTTTCCCGCCGCCCCGCTTGCTGTCTTTCTCTCAGCGCCCACTCTCTCTCGCGCCTCCATGGCTCCCACATGATGAAACCCATCATTCACAAAAGTTTCAGCCTTGTCGTATGCGAGAGCATGCCTCTCGTGCTGCCGATTCTCTTATGGCTGATGGGATGTCGCTCTCTTTCTTCACCACCCCCCATCACCCATTCCCCCTCGTTCTAGTCCGCCTCTTCCCCACGCCCCCATTTCCTCTTCCTCTTTCTTGCTTACTATCCCCGGATCTCTCCCTTCCGTTAGCATGGCTCCCATATGATGATACACTACTCACACAAGTTTCAGCCTTGTCGTATGCGAGAGCATTCCTCTCGTGCTGCCGATTCTCACACGGCTGATGGGATGTCAGCTTTCTCTTCCCAATCCCCCATTCCCCCTCTCTTCCCCTTCCTCCCTTCCCCCTCCTTCCCCTCCCCCTCTACCCGTCTCCCTCTGGTATCGTACTATCCCCCTCTCCTCCCGCCCCCCCTCCCGCCTCCCCTCCCGCCCTCATGGCTCCCATATGTTGATACACTATTAACAAAAGTTTCAGCCACCTTTTCCCCACCCACCACAACCCCACAGAGGTGCAGAGCAAGTGGGAGGCGAGCTCGTGGGGGAGGAAGCTGCTGACCCAGAAGAAGCAACCATTGATCCCCTTCCTCCCTCCCAACCATCCCACCCCCTACCCCCACCACTGCCCATCCCCACCCCCACCACCACCCATCCTCCTACCCCTACATCGCCATGCGTGTTCCAACAGAGGTGTAGAGCAAGTGGGAGGCGAGCTCGTGGGGAAGGAAGCTGCTGACCCAGAAGAAGCAACCATTGATCCCCTTCCTCCCTCCCAACCATCCCATCCCCTACCCCCACCACTGCCCATCCCCACCCCCACCACCACCCATCCTCCTACCCCTACATCGCCATGCGTGTTCCAACAGAGGTGCAGAGCAAGTGGGAGGCGAGCTCGTGGGGGAGGAAGCTGCTGATCCAGAAGAAGCGGGCGGCTCTAACCGACTTCGAGCGTTTCAAGATTGCTGCTGCCCGTTCACAGGTACTGTTCATTCACAGGAACTGTCCGTGCACTGTAGATATTTGGGGGTAACTGTGAAAGGTAGGTGCTGCTGGTGCATTTAAGGTACTGTACAGCTACACCGCTTGCCGTGTTCGTTTTGGAAAGTACTGCTCTGCCTCCCTACCCCACCCTCCCTGCCCCACCCTCCCTACCCCA